GTCTGCCATCGCTCACTTCCGCTTCCGTTTTTTCCATTCCATTCCTTTCTTTTATTTTTATTTTTATTTGTTGGTAAGGATAGCTCATCCTTGCTTTGCTAATGCTTTAATCCTGGCTGCGTTCGCTGTATCCTGTTTGCCCTGTATCCTTACTCCTGTCCGCATGTATTAAATCGATGAAGTATTAACGACTTAATTGCATGTTTGTCAGACATTTTGCATTGACCCTCGCACTCGCACTCTCACTCGCACCCTCCCATCTGAAGTTTATGAGCATTTCGTTTGTTATCCTTTTGCTCACAGGAGGCGTTGCAGTAGAAGTCCTGCGGCCGGGCGCTCATTTCGATTTCGGGAAATGCGAATTCGATTAAAGTAATGACTTTTTGAGTAGCCTCTGGGTTGGCGCTGTTTTAGCTCAGGTGCGTTGGCAGAGATAGAGGAAATTTCGTGAGTTTGGCATAATGAAACGAAGGCCTAAAAAGTTTCCAAGAAAATGGGTATTGATTTTCCCGAAATCATTTTGAAATTACCACACTGATACAAATAGTATATAGACAATTTATTGATTTCTGAAAGTCATTTGGAAATTACGACGATGATAAAAAAAGAAGTTGTGAATCTTAGTATTTCAAACTCAATGTTAGACCTATTAAAAATACAATATTACATACAATTTAATATAAATTTTATTCAATATTATGATTTTATAAATTATTAGATATTACTAGATATTTATATATATTTATATATATTATAATGAATTTATTTTTGATCAGTGTATGCTAATGTGGTTGCTAAAATAAGCTATAAATACACATAGGTACAAGTACAACAAAGATTTTCGATATAAGTGTAATCACTTTAAATTGCGTTATGGCGAAGCAAAGGATGATTTTCTATTAAGAAGTTCCTCCTTTACAATTGTAATTTCAGATATGTGAATTGAGTTAAAACTAAATCCTTTAAAGATCTAATTTGAAGTAAATCTTAGATTTTTCACAGCCTTTTAAATTTTTGTTCAACATTATTTCTTCAAGTTTCTTTTGATTCGTGAACATACAGTTTCCACTGCATTTTCCAGACTCTATCACTTCTACTAAAACCCAAACCAAAACCCTTTCGAAAAAAGCCTACAGTCTTTTACTTTCCTACTTCTACTTCTAATTCCAATCCAATCTGATGCTGCCAAAGTACAAAAAACAACAGCAGCTTAACGTACTAATTGACAAGCAAGCAAAAATATTTACGTACTCAAGTCCAAACATTCTAATCAATGCACTGCGAGGGACAAAGGATCGTCCTAAAAAAAATGAAGTATAGGAGGGATATAGCTTCCAAATGGGGAGGTCTAGGATATCTAGCTATATCCTAGAGGGGTGGCAGAAACAACGAGAACGAAGCCTTTCAAACAAACAACAATCGGTTGGGGCCAGTGAAATTCATCAAAGCGACTCAAACCAGAAAGTGAACGAACGAACAACCTCCTCTCTGTCCAAATGTCAAAATGCGTCGAAGCGAACATCATTGGATTTGTGATTGAACAGAAATTTCCATACATTGAAGCTTTCCTTTTTGTCCTCTGCCCATTTTCATTTAGAAAATGCATGCTGGAGTTTGCCTTTAGGTTTGAGTTTGGACAACCTTCATTAGTCCACGTTCTCTTTCCCTGTTTGTTTTTTTTTGTTTTTTTTTTACTTTTTTTCATGCCACAGAGAATCGAAAATTTATATTTACGGAATTGTAAGTTATGCACTCGAATGATTCTCGCACTGTGAATTGTCTGTCAAATGTCGCGACAGGCGGAATTTTCCCATTCGCATGATTCTTTTTCCTAGAGTGGTTTTCCCTGTTACATCGAACACTCCCCTTCCCCTAGATCTACTTTTTTCGATTTTTCGACGTCCATCCTCGTCGAGCGTTCAATAATTGTGTAAAACGCTTTCAGTTTTACATTTCAATCTTAATTTAGTTTCTGGCATAACGTTTGCTTGCCATTTTTCTGACTGCCGGACAAAAGTCCGGCCAAAAAAGGGGTTCTATCTGCCCACAAAATTAAGGAAGGGGGAGGGCAAGAGGTATTTACGGATTTATTTCTCCGGGGGGTAGGCAAATTGTTATTTTTGTTTTTCGCCATTTGGCCAGTTGATCTTTTGGCTAATGAAGTTTGTCATTGAGCTTTATTTAATTTGGTGATGATGCGAATAAAAGAATAAATAAAAATGGAAAAGGGGGCAACATAAAAAAAGTTCGATTCTAGATTGGTTAATGATTTGCAAAAAAAAAATATCTGGAATATTTTGATGGCTTATTAAGGGACTTACACAGATTTCAATATTTTAATTGAGTTTCAAAAGTGTAGTTAAAATAGGATGTAGTCTGCTGGATTTGGAAAAAGTATTATACTTTTTTTTTATTTTATATGAAGATAAATTAAGTCAATTTGTTTGTTGGTTTCTAGATGGGTAAGTGATTTTTAAAAAGCATACTAAGATACTTAAACATAATTCATATTTAAATTCAGTTTCCGAAATAACTAAAGTTTAATAAAATGTTGGATAAGACTGGAGTTGAGAAAAGCATTACTCGCTTTATGTTATTCCATTTGGTCATCAAATATTTAGACTATGAGAATGCAATCCCTCTTAAATCGCCAGTCTCTGCCCATTGGTTTTTCACCCCCATTGAAATGTTTCCTATTCAAGTTTGACAGTTTTCGAATTCAAGATGACAATTTGAGCTGTCACACGCACAAGGTAGGAAAATGGTTTGAGTTTAAGTGCGGGGGTAGAGGTCAATTCTTCTATTACCCACCTGCAGCTGTCAGTCTGAAGCCAACCCTCACCCTCTTTGTTAACATTCGATTCGATCTATCCAGCGGAATTGCTTAAAACAATTGCGCATACGACGCGTGGCCTGCGTGAAAATTGCAACATTACAACGTGTAGGAAAATTGTAGTAAGAGAATGGATGGGGGTGGTCATTTCTATTTAAGGGAGGTTGGGTCCACATTCTGTCCATCTGCCAGTTACCTTTTTGACATTTGATTGAGATTTGTTATCGGCGAATTCATCAATGATATATACAATAAAAATACACACGCAATGGGGGGATGCTTTTCTGGCCAGACTAAGACTGAAAACCACCCGAAAAAAAGAAGGGAGGCCGTGTGGCCATTCATTCTGTGGCTCTCTGTTGGTGTCTGCTTTTGGCTGCAAAGGTAAGTGGAATGGGTATGAGCCATAGTTATCGTCCTGCACCAGTGACATTTCAGGCCAGCCAGGCATTCAGCTCCTGTGTGTTACTTCTATTAGATTTTCCCTCCAAAAAAAATTGAAAAAAGGCAGGAGGAGGAGGAAAACTGCCCAAGCAGCTGTTGTTTGGACCTGGGCATAACCCCCCATTTTCCATTCCTCTTTTACCATCAGCTTGTTGTGTATTTTTGCAATAAACCAAGGCTATAGGAGAATGGTCTGGTAGAGCTGGCCATGCGTACCTTTCGATCCTTGTGTGACATTTGAATTCGGCAGAGAGAATAGCTGCAAAATGGAGTATGAGCAATTTTCTTTCATATAACTTTGGTGGCACTCCACCCCCTCCCTTTTTTTTTGAGGCCAACGTTTGCGTATCTATTTTTTAATTTTGCTGACGAGGCACGAAAACATACAAAACGCAATTGTTCCCAACGTCCACAATGCATTCCAGTAACTCTGTGGATGTTTGTGCTCCTGCTGCTCCTGCTTTTTCTCTTCGCCTGACATGTGTGCGTCTCCTGCTGATAAGCAGTGGCTCCCAGTGAAAAAGGGGGGTTTTCAAAAGGGGGTGTATACACCCCACATCCCCTCTTGGAAATACAGGCAACGCCAAATGAAAAGTTAAACTGTGTGACGCGCTGAAAATGTGGGAGAAATGGAGCTCTAGTAACACTGATAAAAACTGGAATAGTAAAAATAAATATCTGGCTAACTGAATACAAAATATTTTGTTTCATATTTAAATTAAATTTAAAAAATTTAAGATTTAAAATGGCCGCTGTTGATATTAAAATCTGTAAAGAAAATAGTCAAATTAATTACTTTCCAAAAATGAATTTTTTTTGTTTTTAAAATACACAATTAGTTGATCAATTTAATATTAAAATATTTGAATTAATGTGAAAAATAAATGATTTAAAATGCTCTTTGTTTTTAAAAAGTAAAGTTTTATATGCTCTCAATTTAAATGAAATTTTCTGATATTAAAATCTATTACAAAAATACTCAAAATAATTAAAAAGAAAAAAAATATATATATAATATATTCATATTAAAAAAATATTTTAAAATTGCCAAAGTTGATTATCAAAAGGGGAAAATATTTGAAGAGAGCTAAAAATACTTGGACTTGTCACGTTTTTTTGAACAGTGCAGGATGTTTGATTCGACATTGCCCGAGAAAACCAAAAACCCCACGGATACTCCTTCCAAAAACCTTAAAAACTCTTTTCGCGTTGGCATGGCGTGATGAATATTTACTGCGTGCGCTAACTGCTAACTACCTACAGGTATTCCCCATTTTTTGACATTTTTAATTGGGTTTGAGCTGAGCAGTCCGCCGGCACCAAGGGGTTAAAACGTTGGTGCCACGCAGCCGACAGTTTTTGCCACTTTACGCTTGTCTGTCGAGCCTTGTTCCCCATGATTGAATGCCCGCCAAAAACTGAGGGTTCGATTTCAAACGTAACATAGCCCTCTATTAAAGGTAAACTTTTCAAATGGCCAGCCATTCGGAATAAGTCATTAGGTATTTAACATGACATAAATGACTAATAAACTTCTAATGATTTATTACTTTTTTATTTATTAACAAACTTATTGACCTTTCTTTACTTTTTAAATTTCATACCAAAACTAATTTTATATAAGAGGTTAACATTAAAAAATCTAAAATGTACTTTTAAATTTAATTTTATCACAAGTAAATATAATAAACTAATTTAATTTAATTCCACTTTTTACTTGCAGGTAACTATGCTTTCTATGATCGCTCAAGCGTTTACCAACTGGGGTCAAAGTTATCATGTCATTGTAAGTTTAGAAAAGAACACTAATTATGTATCTTCAACAATTAATTTGGGGACCTATATGAATATTTTACATGGTATTCGTATTTTTTTTCAATCTAGAAAAGGAAATGTAAACAAAAAAATTACAATTTGTAATTGCAACAAGGCAAGCGTATCTTGAAGATATATATTTTCTGTACTTGCAGTGCATTAACACAACATTTTTCTTTTTTTGGTTGCTGCTCAGCGAAGCGTATTAAGCTAACTGTCAACCGTATTTGTGTTAACTGCTTTTTCTTGCCCCTTTTTTTTTGATGGTTACTCATTTGTAATTCATGGAGTTGCATTTCAAGCTGGTTGCATTTACATGCATAGCTAATTACCTTCGCCACACTTGACTTTTCTTAGTCGTAACTGGGTGAAATTTGGTAAAATAACTAAGTAATTGCAGGGAATATGGTACACGATTTAGTGGAAAATAAAAATTGGTTTTATATGATTAGTTCATCTCTAAAAAGGGGCCTAATTTACCTACTGTAAAAAGACGAATTATTTTATGCGAATTCTGCTCAAATTTAAATATTTATTTTATTTAATAAAAATTATTAGTTTAACCCAGAAATAAATTTCTCAATCGAAAGTGTGAATAATAAAAAAATGCACTTTGATGCAAATCAAAGATCTTGGAAGTGCTTACTCTTCCGTAAAGATTAATGAGACTTTTCCACAAATCAGACGAGATTTCCCCCCTGGAATTCCCATTGCAATTACGTTCGGTAATAAGCGCTGGAAAAGCGACTGAAAAGCGAAATGCCAAAGAAGTTACTCAATTGCGGTGTGTTTTTTCTTCCGAAATGCACCTGATTGCCGCCCGCTGGGAGTGCTTATCTCAGCGGGCTGCAAAAGATATGTCATAACTCAGATTTGTATATGTATATATCTTCGACCTGCCACGCCCCCTTTCCACACGTTTTTTTATGCAATGCCAGGGCGGAGCTCACTTTGATGTATCCCGCCCTCCTGCGGCGAAGTATTTCACAATTTCAGCAGCCAGGCGCTGTGAATTATGCGACATTTATTCTTGGATCTCTCGGCTGCACATCTGCCAGGCGATTTTGCTATTATGCGGACATGTGTAATACTTGTATTATGGAAGGGATTTCCCATCCAAGATCCTGTTCTACTGAGTGTGGGAGCTGTCATCGCCAGACCCTTGAAAATGATAAAAAATAAATGCGGGGAGTGGCAAAAGTGCTGACTGCGGGTATTCTTAACTCTGCATCCCAGCTGTCATCGGCAACTTTCGCAATACGTTGCGGTAATGTTATCAAATCGAAGTTCTTGCCTGGTTTTCAATGGCAGGGGTTGTCTTTGCTATTATATCAGAAGGAAAGAGTCAGCAATTAGGTCTAATAGAGTTTGTAGGAGCACCAAAATGAGGAATAAAGATTGTTAATAAAGATTTAATCAATTTTCAATTATTGCAGTTTATGGTTTTGAATAGTACAGAAATATAATATTAAACCAAAATAAAAATAGATAACAAAGGGTACAGTTAATAATGAATACATATTAATTTTAATATTATTGTTTTATTATTTAAATACTAAATTAACGTACAGAAAAAATTGATACATATTTTTGCATCATTTTGAATAAATATAAAATAAATTATCGCTACATGGAATTTAAAGCATAGTAGGTTATTCTATTTTTTTCAAACAAACAAAATAAAAAAAATAGTTATGACCTTTTCCGGCCCCATATTCATATGTGATGATGAAAAGGACCACAGAAGGCAAGAATTAAGGACCTTAGCCGATCGTCTAAGCCGATTGTCGACACTTTTGTGGATTTTAATACTAGCTTGTCTCTTGTTTCTGTTGTTTACGCAGTTTGAAATTTTCCGGATTCCAAGGCGAAGAAATAAAAGCAAGCCGAGTGCAGTTTAACTCCTAAACATCTTTGTCATTTCCCTAAATAAAATTTCTGATGATTGCATTATGTTGCTGGCAGAGAGAAAAAAAGAAGACAAAAAGATTTCATAATAATCTGCGTCATTTGTCGGAATTAATTGCCATTCAAAGCGAACAAGAATGTCGAAAATAGACTCGTAGTTGTATCCACACATACGAATATATCTATGTATCTATAGCTGACCACTTGAAATATGCTGCCCAACTGCACTCAAACGAACTGAGCACACACAAAAAAAATGTGAATCACGGAATTGAATTGACGTTTTGTCTAAATAGTGCACAAGGTCAATTAGTTGAAATGCCATCAACAAAAAATATAACAATTAAATATGCAAGAGAGCTTTGAAGGCAATTCAATGCTATTTTATTTAGATGAGAAAGGCATAAACAGTATTAGGAATTGAAAAAACCACTGATCTGCCTCAATAGATTGTTTATTTTGATTAAAAGATAATAGCTTTTAACTGAAATAATATCTGAGTGATAAAAAACGAAGTTAATTCAACAACTTCGCACTCGTTTTAAACATATTTCGTTTCGGTTTTAATCCATTTGACTTTAAACCATATTGAACTTAAATAAACCAAATTTTTTTACAATATTTTAAATAATTTAATACCAATATAATTTTTTCTTATCAGTGAATCTATCTTTCTTTTTTCTGTTGCATTACTGATATTGCGCAATTTCTCCAATATTTCTTTTATTCTGTAGCAGAAAGTGCGTTGCTATTTTCGACTGAACCTGAGGATCAACCCTCTTACTCCCCTTTGGACTATATATTCCCGATCCCAATACCTTATGTACTTTTCCTTCCTGTCCAACACAAAGACAACTTTTGAAGGAACTGAAAAAAGCTGCTTTTATTTCATTTGTGTTTGTTTGTGCGTTGTTCTTGGAACGCATATCCTAATGTATCTGTATCTGCATCTGTGTTTGTGTTTGTGAAAAGGATTTACGCCTTGTCTTTTTTTTGTTTAGTTTTGTGTGTGAGTTTGGTTTCTTGTACATTTCGCACATATCTTCGCCTTTGTTGTTGTTTGTTTGGTTGGCAGATAGGTTACCAGATACCTGAGCTATGATTTCGCCTTGAGACTTCCATTCAGGTGCGTTTTGTGTATGTGTATCTCGTAAGTTCCTTTGGACAAAAAAAAAAAACGAGACGGGTATATACTATTTTTGATCTATTTTTCAGCTTTAGCTTTTTTTCTTTTATTCTCCTTAGCATGTAATTGAAAAAGCATTTCAAATGCAGCTGCGTAAATTTCATTGCGTATTCCTTTTAGACAACTACAATGGCAGAATGAGGATAAATGAATAAGTTTCTGTAGTACAGTTGAGTTCGAAGCTCCCGAAGTGCAGAAATAAAGAAGTTTTTTCGATGAAGATTTGTAAAAGGTATGTTGGGGTTGCTTTGGAGTAGTGGAAAAGTTTTTGGAATGATTTATTTCGAAACGGAATAAATGGGTAGGTTCTACATTGACCTCTTGAAAATATTCAACAATATTGAAAGTAATACCGCTAAAAATAAAAATGTACCAAAAATTAGTTTGTATTTATTTCCTTTGCAAAATCCAGCTATTATGTACTCAATCAAAACGAGCAACTTCTGCATCATTTTATCGAACAGCCAACACTCTTTTTGAATTGCTCCACATACCGTGAATCAACTCGATCAATTTCACCCAATCTTTAAATCATTCTTATCCCCCAAGGGCATTCTTGTTCCCCTGCGAATAAATTCCAGTTGTCGGGACTCAAAAAACTGCAAACTTCCCAGGAATTTCTTAATAGCTTTTTACCGATATCTTTTTTTTATCCCCCCCCCCCCTTTTTTTTTCATGCCTCGAAACGAAACGAAACCGTTGATTTTGATGGTCAAGAAAAAAGAAAAAAGAATGAATAAAAGAAGCGAAGCAGCAGCTTCCACAAAAGTTGCGGGTCCGCATTTTTCTAACGATTAAACAAATTCGAAGAAAACAAACGCATCCCATGCAACGAAAGGCAGCCTCACCTGCAGTTTCCAGGAATCGAAAAAGGATGATAAAGGAGGGGGTTGAAAGAAACTGTAGACGAGGCCAAAAAGTCAGAAAATCAGAAATCAGAAAGTTGTGTGTTCGCGCGTTGCATCAAAAACCTTTCGAAGCGGCGGCATTTTTTGAGTTGGCCAGCCCATAGAATTCCCAGAATTGAATCGTATATCTTGTGATTTTTTCTTTCTTTTTTATTTACCCCTTCTTGGACTGTTTTCGCTTCTTTCTAAATGCTCGATTAATTTCTAATAAATTGGTCGGAAATGCTGCAGGCGGCCAAAGATAGAGTTACCAACACAAATGCGATGCAGTTTCAGAAACTTGGCTTTTGGCTTTTTTGGAAATTTGAGTTTGTCCGGGAACATATGCTTGTAGTTCTCGGAACTACTTGGAGTGGAGTGTACATTTAAGCCTTTTTGCAACCTGCATATGCCCAAAAAAAAAAAAAAATTAAGGGCACTAAAAAGCAGGCGATGAATTTGCCATCGGGTTGTCTGTCAAACGCATCGAAATTGAAACTAATCGCATAATATCATTTTCGTCATTCTCGTTGCAGCATTTGTCGTGTTCGGATTCGGATATTCAGTTTTGAGATTCGGTAAATTTTCTATGCCAAAGCCAAAAAACGTATCATCAGCAACGATTGTGGTGGCAGCGGATGAAGTGATTGGAAAACCGGAACAATTAGCGAGAACGACACACAAGAAATTAACTAAACAATTGCAAAATTCCCTTTGGCTAAGGATTTGCAGCGGCCGAATTGCTTTTATGCTCTGCTGGCAGCTACAAAATTCCACGAAATTCCATTTTGGCAACACGAAAACAAACAAATCAATTACCGAAAAACATCAGCAGCAGCAGCAGCACAAATATCCAGATATTATTGGCATAAATCGTAAACAAAAGCGACACCATCATCATTACAATCATCGCCGTTCTGGCGCCGTTCAAACCACAACTTGGATCCTGAGAGTTAGGCACACCGATACGGAAACGGATAAGGATAAGCATACGAATACGGCTACGGATCGGGACAAAAGATTTAGGGTAGAAGATATCGGTGATATAGGCGCAGCCACGGAGGACGCACAACTACTGCTGGCAAAATGGATCCACAGCAGCAGTTCTGCCTCAAGTGGAACAGTTATTCGTCGAATTTGGCAATAACATTCTCCAATCTGTTCAAATCGGATCTGCTGGCCGATGTCACATTATCCTGCGATGGTAAGTGTTTGTCTATCATTATATATTTTATTTATTTTATTTGATTTTTTTAATCTGACGCTGCAAGTATTAAATAATTTTAAATAAACTGACAGTTAACTCAGTGCTACAAAAATCCATTTAAATAGCATTTGATTGTAGAACAGTGAATAATATGGAGAGAATATTATTAACCATATAAATTAAAGGCTCGTTTTTTTTAATTTTAATAACAAAATTAAATAAGACATTTAATATATATGCAGTGTAGGTTACCTTCAGAGCTACATAATCACAATTGAATAGCTTTTATTTTGTCCACAAATTTTATAAATAAAACTTAATATGAAATTTAATTTAAATCAATCGATTTTAGGACACTTTGTGATATTCCCAAACTGGAAATGTACTGATATAATAGTCATAAACATAAAACGTGCAAAAGTGGCCACAATGTGTGTAGTTAAATCGTCATGAAATTGAGTTATTCGTATTTACCTACGACTCGCTTACTTTTATTTTCCCTCCACTGCTGCTGTCCATGTTTATTTTTATTTTTCGCTAATAAGCCGGCAGACATTGATTTCTTTTTGCCTTTGCCGGTTTTGTTTGGTTTGATGGCATAGCCGCGAAGTGGAGGTGGCTTTTATGGCCTGTCTCGTCCTTGTCTGTCAGCCACATCCCATCCAGCCCATCCATCCCATCCATCCATTCCCCCATTTATTTCTAGTCTGTGTCTGCTAGTTCATTTATGGCCTTTTACTACAGTTTTTATGCTGGCTTATTAAATGGCGTATAAATGCGGGCAAACCTATATAACAGCTTCACATACAAAGTATATAACTTTTATTTGTATATACAAATATACACATATATTTATTCAGCCTTTTTGACTGAGGTCAGTTATTTGGCAGCTCCTTTGGGTGTATAAAATGTATGTGCGGCGTATGCTTTTTTGGGACCCTTGTTAACCTTATTTTCTTTCTCTTTTGATTTGGGTTTAAATATTTTCCGTCGCCGGTTTGCTTTTTTGGTGTTTATGTGTCTTGAGTATCTTGGCTTATTTTTATGATTATTATGTAGATTATGTATACCGTTTTATGCTCTTCTTTCTTTTATATATTTTTTCTTTGAAGCCTAACCTTGGCTTAATATCATGCTTTAAATTTTACAAGAATTTTGAGGGAGTTTTAGGCACATTGGTCATACGCCATGTGTGCGTAAGTATAGATTTTTTCTGCTGACTGGGATTATTAAGGGGGGTATTGGTTAAAATGGAGAGGTTGGGGGACATACGCAGACAGCTATCCGCCTCAAAAAAAAAAAAAAAAAAAAACGTAGACAAATCCCGAAACCCTTTTGGCTTCCTGTTCCTCAGTTCCCTGTTGTCATTCATTCATATCAATCGAAGTGGTACTACTTTTGATTAAAATTTTTGAACCGTTACACCCCAGCACACAGACACACACACACAAAATCCCCCCCATTTTAAACCCTTTGCTTTGACTGTTTTTAATTGTGGTTTTTAATATTTCTTTGGGGGTTAGGGAGATTTTTGCACACGAAGTCCAACCAAATTCTGCATTTGTTATGTTTGATTTGGCTCTACACTCGGCTCTTTTGTCCATTTCGAAATGAAGCATTAAATATTTGGCCGTCTGCGAAAACAAAAGCAAATAACGTATGTTTTTTATTGTTTTTAATATTCATGTGGATATATATGTTTTTTGTTACTGATTGAAAAGTGTATGCATTGCTGGAGTTTTGGTTTAGGTGTTGGGGGCACATTTAGCACTTGAGAAATGAGCATTTTTAGCCAAATGAACATTTGCTTAGCCTTCGGCTACGTTTTTAATGGGGGGATTTCAAAAAGGGATAGATTGTGCATTTAAGGGGTTGATTTGCTTAAATACTTGCAAAAAAACATGCATTTTTGTAATAATATAGCATAAAGCAATATAAAGTAAGGCCATTGTTAATTGTTTGCTTAGTTATTCTAGTACTACACCACGTGCTGGTTAATACACGATTCAATTGATTAGAGTATAATCAACAATTATTGACCATAAAAAACAAATAAGTACTTGAGCCCATGTTATTGCCAAACTGCATAATAGCAAGACTGAAAAAACCCCGAAAATCAAAACAAATTATGGAGTAAATGAAAAAACGAACGCAAACGCAGAACGTAAACAAGCGAAGGCAGCAGAAAATAATATATATTATATACACATAATGTCATTTCTTTATCAAGGCCAGTCCATACAGACATATCGAACTGAATTTGTATAGCAATATGTGTTCTCTTTTTTCGCTTTTTTTTTTTTGCGTTTCCTTTGTGGTGATTGTGACCCAATTTCTGTTGTATCAAGTGTTAGAAAATCCAGCCAGCGAAATAACACAACAAAATACCGTCTGTTAGCCGAAACATAATCGCCAGAACCGAATATAAAAGTTTCTGAGGGGTAAACAAAAAATAAAAAGAAAGCGTGCGTGTGTGTGGAGTGGCGTGTGTTAAATGCAATTTGCGTAGTGGTCTGGTAAATTAATCAAGCGATTATATAATACATACATTTGGCGACGAGAGCAGCAGCTAATCAGTGACGACGCAAATTGCGCATACGCCGCGTTGCTTGAATCACTTCCGAGTGTTTTATATTTTTCGGGGCTCGTGCAGTGCGTCTGATTTTGACCTTGATGTCGTTTTGTTAGTTGACTTGCCCCACGAATTCAATATTTTTTTTTTGTGTTATCAAATGCCCTTATCAGCTGGTAAACGCTGAGGCAAGAATTGACACAATTCTCTTGAATTCCATATAGAAATAGCACTGCACTGTGCGATAAGCCAGCCCAAAAAAAAAGAAGAATGAAATGTTAAGTTGAGTTGAGGAAATGTCTTAATGCATTTACGCTTCAGCTGCTACGGAAATTTCACAAAGTGTCAAACTTGAAATATATTTATGAACAATGTCGGCGGTAAATATTAGCAGCCATCTCTCTTTTCCTCTATAGTATATACATTGTTTGTATTTATCTTAAAAAACACCGCTGTGCGAGTGTCGTTTCAATTTGGCTTAAGTAATGCTCGCAGCTAACACAACAAGTGCCCCATAAACAAAAAAGACATAACTTTCAGTGCCACCCCTTAAGGAAAAAAAAGGGAGAGGGAAAAAGCAAAGAAAACTCGAAAAGAGAGACAAGAAAAGCGTGAAAAATTGTAGCCAAAAAGATTATATATACATATGTACATACAAACCAGCAGAGAGCACATCAAAATACACTTAGTTTCGGAGTGGCTTTTTCCCCTAACATTGCGTATACGCCGGGTGGGTTTTTGTGTGTCAGGTATTTTGTACAAAAGACTTGCCAGGACACCAAGACACAGCAAAACCAAAACCAAGACGACGACGACATTGATGTTGAATAATAACCCACCCAGACACACATACTCTATGAAAATTGCGAATGGTGGAAAGCTCTTTGTGTCTGTGTAGTCAACAGCAAGGAAATCATTTCCTTTTGCTGCGGCTTTTATTGTCCTCCGCGTACGTGTACGTGTACGTGTTTACGTGTTTATGTGCAAGTGTGCCCATCGTATATATTTGACATGATTTTTTATGAGTTCAAGGTCTCGGTTGGCAATTCGGCGCCACCTGTTGGCAACCTTTTGTGGGTGGGGATTGTGCCCCAGAAAAAGATGCTTTAATCGGCAAATATTTGCAAAAATACCCTTAAAAATATTACCTCACATTAGCTTAATACGAAATTAGGAATAATTTTTTAAAACTAAATCACTTGGTTTTGGAAATCACTTAAAAAGGTGTCTAAAAGTATGCAATGAAATCTGAAAGTCTTCTTTCGAAATAAATCCCACAGACACTCTGAATTAAAATATTTTGTGGCATACTTATAGGCACATTTTTCTGTATCGAGCTCAATAACCTAGTATATTTTTTATTTTCTCATTTTAACCTTTATTTACCTTGTCTTCGCTTCCAGGCGCAGTATTCAAAGCACACAAACTTATATTGGCGGCCTGCTCGAAGAAGTTCGCCGATCTGTTCGAGAACACGCCCACAAATGGCCAGTGCGTCATCATACTGGAGGCGACCACGCCGGACAACATGGCCGCTCTCCTGGAGTTCATGTACAAAGGCGAGGTCCACGTCTCCCAGGAGGCACTCAACAGTTTCCTCAAATCCGCCGAAAGCTTACAGGTAAGCGATTAATGAAACCTAAAATACAAATATTGACACTTTTATGCTAAGAATTTCATCTCATGAACATCAGCTATTTTCCGTCATTCCGTCTTGTTTTAACTTAAAAATTCAATTCAAAAATTTAAAAATTAATTTCGCCAATTTTTGCGAATGCAAAATAGTTAATACAAATACAACATAATTTTTGTTACAATATTTAACACTTATTTTTCATATTGCCAGGTCAAAGGTCTGTCCACGGAGACGGGACGTCTGGCGGCGCAGCAGGCGCAACAGCACATGGGCGACACCTCGCCCTTGGACTCGCCCACTGGCAGGCGGAGCATACGGAACAGCCTGAGCGGCGGCGGAGGCGGCGGAGGGAGTAGTATAGTGCCCGGAGGAGCAGGAATTGGCCTGGGGACGGGAGTGAACTCCATGCCCGGCGGCATGGGCATTGGCAACGGACTGAGCCTGGCCGGAATGGCGGCTGCCGGAGGAATGGCGGCGGCTGCCAGTGTGGCGGCCAGTGGATTGAGTGCTCTGGCGGCCAGTGCGAATGCCCTGGACCGTTGTGGCAGTGCCGGCGGTGGCAACATCATCGGTGGCACAGCGACTGGCATCGGCGGTCCACATGGTAACGGCAACGGAGGAGCGGGATCCGTGGGCGGATTGAGTGGCGGAGTTGGAGGCAATGGCGTGGGCAGTGGCAATGGCGGCGGCGTCGGCGGCAACAATGGACCCATCAGCCTGGGAAGCGGCGCTGGCGCTGCTCATCACCTAGGCGGTTCCACCGGCAGCTTGAAACAGGAATGCGACTCGCTGATGCATCCCGGCGGAAGCAGTTCCTCCTCCGGCATGGGCTATGTGCCGCCCATCTACCGACCCATCTCCTACGAGCCACTGCGCAAGCGACCCCTCCGCAGTCCGTATCCCGAGCAGGAGCAGCGCGGCTCGGTCCTCAGGGATGGCTCCAAGTCCTCCGAGTGCCCCAGCCCCATCAACAAGCCGCCGTACCACCGCCCCTCCTCCAGCGCCTCCTCAACGGCGCCCACCGAGGCGGACACCATGCACTCCGAACGCGCTTCACCGCAGTCCAGGTGCGTTTTCTTTACAACAAATTCTAACAAATAGAAAAATTAAAAAAATATTATTAAAATTTTGAAAAGTATGTAAGTAATAAACTTTAATATTTTGCATCATTTTCTGATATAAGATTCCCTTATAAATAGGGATACATCCGTAAAAATTTTACCCTTCTGGTCACTTAGATACAAATGCTTTTTTCAAGCACTAAATTTATTCCAAAATAAATATTTATGAAGATTAAAATATATGAGAAAAATGAATTCTCCCTGAAAAACAGCACATTTTGTTATTAAATATAAATTAAATCCATCTGCTTATAAATAGGTACAAAACTTGAAATTTTTAGTATATCTATATAAACATTTCTCAAAGTTCCTATAAAATTGTTTGTTTAATACTTTTACCGTAAAATTGTATTTAACATTTTACAACTTTTGATTGAATCAAAAATTATAGAAACAATATTCCCTTATTTTTGCTCTATGCCTGACCTAACTTTTCCCCATTTTCCATCAGTCGCTACGAGAACCACAGTCCCAGTACCACGGCGGGCAATGGAAATGCCACTAGTGGCCTGGATCGCATAGTGAAATCGGAGCGCAATAATGGCAGTGCCAACGAGGCTAACGACGACGACCGCGAGCTAATGGATGAGTCCACAGATGTGAGTTACTATTACTTACATTTCTTAAATAAAATATAATAAAAAAATTTACAAATGGATTATCCATAGAATGGAGCCGAGGATCTGCGTGTGAAGCTGGAGAACTTGAAGTACTCGCCACCGCCGCCTCCGAACTCGAACACCTCGTCGACCACGCCCAATGCCCTGCTGGAGAACTTGAAGGCGGATGGCACGCTGTCCAGCAATCTGGCTGCCTCGATAGCGCCGGCGGATATGCTGAATGTGTGGAATGCCACCAAGATGAACAACAAGAACAGTGTGAATACGGCGGATGGCAAGAAGCTGAAGTGTCTGTACTGCGATCGTTTGTACGGCTATGAGACGAACTTGAGGGCACACATCAGGCAGCGACATCAGGGCATCCGAGTGCCATGTCCCTTCTGCGAGAGGACCTTCACGAGGAACAACACTGTGCGAAGGCACATTGCCAGGGAGCACAAACAGGAGATTGGATTGGCGGCGGGTGCAACTATAGCGCCGGCTCATGTGGCGGCAGCGGCGGCGGCAGCGGCGGCCGCCAATCATTCACCATAGGAAGCGGCCGCAACAGCAGCGGCATCAGTAGTCATCAATAACCACGCCCACAAGGAGGCGGCCAAGCAGCGCAAACGTAAATCACTCAAAATGGCATTGGAGAAATGCATGCAGCGAAGGGATGCAATGGCCACGGCGGATCAGGCCATTGGATCGGGAGAGGGAGAGGTAGAGGGAGAAGGGTCGGGGGCGGGAGAAGGGGCGGAAATAGTATCAGATGGGGCAGAAAAGTCTAGAGCAGAGGTATCAACATCAAGGGAGCTGGTGGAGGGCGAAACCGAACCCATGACCTACGAACAACAGCAGCAGCGAATGCACCAGGAGCTGACCCTGCAGATTAGGGCAGCCATGGCCGCAGAGCAGGCTGCCGAGGCCATGGATTCCACGCTGAACACCACGGGTCATACGAATAACACCACCACCACCACCACGACAAATACCACAACCAATACGACCACCACCACCACCACCAGTGATGGTTGCAGTGAGGCAGACAGTGATCGTGCCATGGAAGTGGACGAAGAGGATCAGGAGCAGGCTCCAGAACCGCAACCGGGATCCGAATTGGTAGTGGTGGAGCCCAAGATCGAAGTACTCTCGGAATCGGAGGATGATGATGAGGAGGATCGATTGCACATGTCCGAAGCGGAAGCCATCTATGATCATATGCCTCAGACGCCCACCAGCCCACCAAACACACACTTGATACCACCGCCCAGTGACACGCCCCATTTGACCTCCACGCCCAAGGTCAATGCGGAGTAGGCTGAGCCTAAGAAGAAGATGAAACAGATGAATGAGAAGAAGCCCCCAAAGAAGCTGCTTAGTTTAAGAATATGTAACGATGAAGAAAAAACATGAGTGATTTACAAAACAAAAGGTTTACGCGCGCAAAAAAGATGATGAATGACTACTAATGCAACTGCTGTTGCCCTCGGAGAAAACAAAAAAAACGGAGTTCCCTCCACCATTGATTTAAAAACACAAAACTAAAACAAAGATTTACTTATAATAAGGTTTAAACAAAAAACAAAGCAAAACACCACAGACCAGAGACAGACGAACACACTTAAACGAAAAGGCAGTATTTTGATGTCCAAAACTTTTTGCAGAATTTTTAATTGCTACAAATTTGTGTTCAAAGCCACCATCAACACCAAAACAAATCAATCACAAAGAAATGTTAAAACAGAGTAAACAGATTTAAACAAAAAACAATAAGAAACAGAGAACAACAAAACAGTAACATAGAACATAGAAATAAATGCAATCCGGCTGAAAAATAGTTTTCAGGGTGCTAATTAAATCAAACAAAAACAAAAAACACGCAATGAAAAACAAATTAAATAGTAAAATGCAAAAAGTTTGAACGTTTTTGATTGGTACCGCCTTAAAACAAAATACGAAAGTGTTACAACAAAACAAGCGTCGAAAATTTGTTTATATTCGTGTGTGTTTGTTGAGAAAAAGAAGAGAGAGGAGATCAATGATTAGATATTATTGTCGCATATATATTTTTGATTTCCTATAGAAAACGTCACAAAAAGTTGCCTCAAATCAAACGAAACGATAAAAACAAATAAACTGAATTTAACTGAAACGTGAAAATGAAAACTATGAGTAAAAACACTGCAAAATAAACAAATAGCTGCAACAAAAACAAACTACAAAGCAACAATAGCAACAACAAAACCGCAACCACAAGTACCTGCAATAATAAAATAGTATAAAAACGAAAAAAGAAACAAAATACAGAATAGAAGAGTAACTAGTGATGATGATGAAGAGCTGCAAATCCCAAATCCTTGAGAACCCTATTTGCTAAGTGGGTCGAAAACTTCGCCAACCAATTGCCCATTTGTCCGGTTTTTTTGTAAATAATTTTATTAAATTAATAATACGAAAAGGCAAATTTGGCTTAAGCGTAGGGTGAAGTAATGAGGCCACTTTTCTGTGGGTTATCGCAAGGATTTCAGGATCTTGGCTCGAAAACAGACAAAAAAAAGATTTGCTTTAAACGAATAACATTTTTATTTTTTAATATTTTTTATGATTTATTCAAATTTAGGCCTCAAAATTTCATTCAACTGCTTTTCGGCTACACAAAATCTAAAAAACTAAATACAAATTCAATTCCGTATTCAGAAGTTTCTAAAGAAGTAAAAAAAACAATTGGTAAATTGGGTGCCTATAAGAAATATATAATTAAATGACTACTAGTAAAATTTTATAAACAAAGAAAAAAGTATATTTAAAGAAAAGAGAGAGAGAGAGAGAAAAGCAAATAGCAAAGAAAACGTAAAGTAAATATAATTATTTTTTAATTGAATAATTCTAGCCAAGTGTGAAAATATTAAGCAAAAACCACTCAAAAACGTTCTTAAAAACTTGACGGCAACAACAACAACAACAAACAGCAAACCGCAATAATTACAGCATATAAAAAACGAAATTCAAAATCAAAATTTTTGGCACACCTTTGGAAAACATTTTTCATACAAAATGAAATTCACCAAAAAAGCGAAATCCAACCAACAAAAATTCAAAATTCATTTTTTCGGCAATTATAATTTCGAAGGCTACATCAAGGGGCTAAAATCCCTAGAAAAAAGAAACCAGCTGTAAAATACTGAAAACAGAAGAGAAACATTTGTTGTAAGCGAAAAGAGAAGAAATGGAAATCTAAGGAAATTGCAATTGAAAATATTGAGAAAATCTGCCAAGGCGATAAAAAGCCTTGGATTGTAAATACATTTATTATTCACGCATATACTATATATGTGTGGCCTCAGTTGTATAATGATAAAGCCTAGATCTAATATATATATATATACATATATACATATGTATAATGTAAACATAAACTACTAAGCGCATATGTAGGAACACATTAGGCTCGCCAACAGAAAAGGTTTTATTTGATTAGAAGCTAACTGAATTTCAAACGAGAGAAACTGTCTTAATTTTAATACGTTTTCCGTTAGCAAGGCAATAGAAAACACAAAATAAGGGTGAACCAGAATCCATAGAACCGTAAAATAGCCAAAATGTTGAATATTAAACTACTTTTATTAACTGTTGAATCACCGAAACACACACACACACACACACACACGCTACACAAGTTAAAATAGGTATTTTAACCCATAGAAGATGCAGACTACCAATTGTCACCCCCGAAACCCAGTTTGTTCTGTGATATCGTTTTGAAGTTGCAAATGAATTCGTCGTTTAGTTCTTTTTCGATTCGTTTTATGAATAATTTGTCGAGCAGGAGAGAACAGAAGGCAAAAAAATATAGCAAGGCAACCAAGCAAACAAAACAATAGCAATATTAACCATTAAAGTCTGGCAATATTCGAAAACCAAACTACCTCTTCACACCCATATGCAGATTAACCCCTGTTCGCCGTTGTCCGCTTTTTGGGCACCACCCCCTCAACGTTCGCTGGAGTCTGAATTACATTTTATTTTTAAGTACGTTGTTGGGGCAGCCAAATCTGCGGTCTTTGGTTCAGGGCAAAACAAAAAAGCCATCAGTCAGTAATTCAATCCGTCAGTCAGTGAATCAATCAAACAATATACTACTATTTAGTAATCAGGGGTTATTTACGATTAACCATAATTTTTAATTGATAATTTTACTTCTAGTATATTTTAGCGCTTATGTTACCTTAGTTTTTCGTTTTGTCTTTACTATTATTATTAGAGTCTAATCAAACTCAGGAACTCATATACCTCAGGAAAAGAACCTACCTCTTTGTGTTTTTAAACTTGTTTGAACTATTTGTACTACTATTTTTATTATTATTATTATTATTACGATTATAATTTTTGGTTTGCATGGGACAAACAAACAAGCAAACAAAACGAAACGAAATGAAACACAAAACATATATATATTTTGTTGTAATCGAAGAGATGCTATCAAGGAAAGCTTTAGTTCTTAGTTCGATTATCGATTATCGCTTAGTTTACTATAGTGGCTAGCAATTATGTTTAGATGCAAAAGACACAATCACACATGAGCACACAATAGCAATAATAAATAGGAAAAACATAAACGAAACCAAGACCAGATCGAACTGCAATAGTAAACTGAACTACCTCAATTAGCCATAGACTGCGCAGTAACGAGATGAGCATGATATAAAAATCCTATTTGTTTTCCAGTTACCCACTTTAGTTTCCTCTTTTTTGTAAAATGGTGACACCCAGACAGACCTTGCAATTTCTTTATAGACCATAGACCTTTCTTCATGTATAGTAAATATGCGCTAAAACCAGAGCCCACGAAATTCAGATGAAAAATAAAAACTTTTAATGTAAATGAAAAAACAACTACTTTTGGTTAAACTCTAATTATACGAAAATATCCAAAACTTTTACTATGTATGTGTAGAGAGCAGATGTAGGCGATATTTATGACCAGGATTAAGATCATTTGTATACATCAATTTCGGCAAAGCAACTAAATGAGGCAAACCAACAAAAAAAAACAAAACAAAACAAATAAACAAACGTAACTCTTTATAATCTAACTATAAACAAAAATACAAAGAAATTATTTAAGGCTACAAAATTTACCCCAAAAAGGAATGAAAAATCCACAAAAAAATTAAAGAAACGATCCCAGTAAATGGTATACTTTTGCTTGAGCCAAGTCCAATGGCCAAACTAAAACAAGTTCTGAAGCAAAGAAAAAAATTTAAATTAAATTAAATTCAAAGCAAACCCTAAAAGGTTATAAAATTAAAAACAAAAAAAATCAACACGAGATGGAAAACATTTTGCTAAACGAAGAGAAACATTTTCTAAAAGAAACTTGCGTAAATAAGCAAACACTTTACGAAACAAACATTTTAGGCTTAAACTTTTGGCTAAAGAAAAAAAATTAAAATTATAACAAACATTAGGCACGAGCAAAACTCTTTGCATGTGCATCAATTATACATAAAAATTTTATTTAAAAAAACAAAAAAATGAAAAAGCAAAAATACTTTTATCTGTAATCAGATTTTAGGCCAAACTTTTCGACAAGCGGCGTAAAATAATTTCTTTGTAAAATATGTTTGCAAACAAAACAAATCGAAAGAAAAATCCCAGAGAGCGTAATTAACTTAATCTAAACGTAAAAAATAAACACAAATGTCGCCATTTTGCATTTAGAGCGTACAGTACAGTAAAGCACACAAAATAACGTCGACTAAAGAAAAGTCACGAAATCAAACAATTAATGTACATAAAATAAATTAAACGAAAATGAATTGTGTATTGTATATTCGTAATTTTTCAGTAATTTTTAGTTACCTTTTACCCCTCCTTGAGTTGTATAAATTAATTATTAAGAAAAGAAACCCATAAAACAAAATTGAAGCTGTAACAAGAATACAAATATATAATAAATGTAACGATATATAAATAATAGTGTGCACAGGTACAAAACAAAATTTAAGTTCAATTTAATGTGAAATTTAGTGCACCGAAACACACATTTTGTAAGAGCTCGATGTAATTTTTGTTATATATTTTTGTTAGTAATTGTTTTTCTATTAATATTTAGCGTGAAATGTCAAGAAGCAAAATAACACGAAAATGAAAATCAATGCCCCTCAACAAGCCAATTGTACTTACGATTACTTTTCTCTTTTAATATAATTTTGCGACAATAGAACCGATTCCCCTTAATCCCCTTATATGCTTACTTTACCTAAGTTATTTCAAATAACTATAAAATAAAAACAAATGGAGAAAAGGAGAAAAGGAGCACAAACCCCAGTTTAAGTTTAAGAGGCAAAATAATGTAACATATATTTTTGTATCATTTTTCGTTCTGTTCGACCACAACAAATTGGCTTGTTTGCACATTTTTTCTAATTTGTAACAATTATATGATAAAATCTAAATTTATAATATATACACACGTAAATGCTAAAAAACAAAATGCAACTAAATAAATGTTAAACCCCAGAAAAAAAAACACAAAACATCTCATAATTGGCAATTTTTATTGGTTAACCACTAAATTGAACACTAAACAAAATTCTTATCCCCTACAGTACTGACAACGTTTTTGGACCCGATTGATTTGATTTTGCCCCCGACGAACTTAGTGTCCCCCAAAAAACTAATAAATGTAACGAAAATATGTATACTAAAGTTTACGACTATCGAAAGTAATTTAAAAATGAAAAATATTGTGTTTAGGCCTAAGCAACTTAACAGTTCAGTTCAATACGAAATTTGGAGATATGAAAATGCAAATGCTTAATGAAATTAGTTGTACGACTATATATTCCCATCTCCTCTCAATGTGTAAATCAAGTTGTTGTAAGTTTGTCTATCACGATAAATCGAAGCAAG